CAAAACACGATTCATCGGGAAACCTGAGACAGATATAGAAATGCATGTAAAGTTATAAATAGAAATAAAGTGTGAATCACTGGTAAGGAAATGACCCAGCAAATCACCCTACTTTCCTGAAGAATATTCAGTAAGTTTGTGATCAGGTTTTTGCTCTATTTTGTAGTTCTGATTTTCAAACTGAAACTTTTGCTCTTCGGAAATGCATTTATTGTCGCTCTTCTCAAACTAACTCAGCTTAAATGGCTAGTGTACTAAGACATATGCCAGGCTCAGGCAGTTGTATTGGCTATTACATGATGTAAGGGAAGTCGCGTGTAACTATCGTTATTTACCGCGCCAGCAGATAAAGGATAAACTGCTTTTTCTATTACTGTCTTCTAACGCTGAGGCTTCCTGTACGGGGCTCTTGCAAGCCCTGGACAAACAGCTGTAGAACCAGGTTCACGCCCTGCCTCCCTTGATGGGGAAAGTAGTTATTCTCTTGCCAAATAAATAGATTAATTCAATAATCCTTGCTGTTTAGAGCAGTAAAAATTGATGCATGGACTTGCAATAGCAATTTATTGGCGAGGCATACGAATTTTGCACAAGCATGCCTGATTCCACATCTACTCAAAAGTGCTCTTCAAAGCACATCATCTTTAGTCCACGTAATTTTTGATTTCCAGTGACGCTTGGGCAACAGCTCGGAGAGGCTGCAGAGTTCATGGCTGCTTTGAACGCTTGGATCACAAAACTATAGATGTCCCCCAAAGAGCACTGAGGTCGCGAAGGGAGAGGCCCCGTGAGTCAGACCGAGTTTTTTCAGCTCACGATTTTGGATTTTTGTGCCTCAGATCCAGCTGTACTCTAACTGACCCCTTTTTTGACCTGAAGCCAGCCATCTTCTGAAGAGCCTATAGTTATGTCAGTTGAGACCTAAAGTATTGACAGAAGCCACTGCAAAATCAGAAATGAAAAAGGAGGAATCTTGCCATCTGTGTGGGGCAACTGAGGACTCTTCTGCTCCCAAAAGGGACAATTCCCCACAGCCCCATGCCGCGGTTACTGCTCCCTCTTGTTGGCCCTAGTAATTGTGCAGCCACACCGCGCACACATCAGCATCGTTTGTTAATCAGAGTTAGAGAACGTGGACAGGAAAATGTTTTTTTAATGCATCAGCAGACTGGCTGTGCAACCCCACGGTCACTGGCTTTGGTTGTGTGGGTGGAAACAGCAGGAGCGGGCAGCCAAGGGCAGATCACCAGCATGATCGTAAATCAGTTTACACCAAGCATGAAGCCATACGCCAAGTACTTGTTTAACAGATCCTTTTAAAGATACCCCAGGTGTGTCTGTATGAGTTCCAGTCACTGCAGTGCAGGCGTATTGTCTGAAAAAGAACATGAGCGAGCATGAGAATTGCAACAGAAAGATGCAGGACAGGACTCAATGGGATTGAGAAATGGGAAGTCTCGGGTAGGTGGCAGGGATCAAAGGCTTTGGCAGAAGTTCTCACTGCCCTGCACTGGGACAGGAATGTGATGACAAGTCGAGCGCTCGCGGAGGAGGGAGAGAGCCGGGGAAAAACATTTCAGTTGCCTCCGACAATGGGCAGGCGGCCAAAAGTGTGCGACCCACTGGCTGTGTGATTGGCACTGGCTCTCCCAGGAGAAAGCGTGGACAAAACAGAAAGAAGGAAGGAAAGAAAACATTAGCAAGGAAACTGAAAGCAAGGGAGAGGGCATTGTATCTCAGATCAGCTTTACTCTACCAGAGGTCATCACTAGCAGGCATAGTCCATGCTGGCTGTAGATAGTGACACAGTCGGATCACAGTCACACAGCTTACACGTTCCCTGTCCTGGAACTTTAAGCCACAATTTTTGTTTGAGTATGATTGCAGGTCTTTGAGCACTTCCTAACAGCAACTAGGAAATTTGCTAAATCCTCTTGTTTTCCCAGAAGCATAAAAACAAACAGAAAAGTCAAAAACACCACCATTAACACAGGATATTCCCCGCCCTACCATAAAAAGATCTGCTTCCCTTTTTCTCAAATGAGTGTCTAAAAAGCAGATGAACTCTTGCAAAACTCCTTGAAGAGCTGAGTAAATACTGAAATGTTCTGTCGGCTTAGGAATAAGTAATTCTCACTAATGAATTTTGGTTTGCCTTGAACCTTTGCCAAAGATTCCTCTCTGCTGGATCTCTACTATTTTTAGAATACCTGTGTTTGGGTGGCAACTAGGAGCAAGCTTGCTAGGTACCACAAAAATCTAGTACAGAAGAAAAAGCCTTATCCCAAATGGTTTTGTTTCCTTTAACGTATGAAAACATCGCTTGCGTGATACTCCCACTTCTGTTAAAATTTGGGAAAATTACTTGCCACGTCACCCCCATGAAAGTGAGAACAAGATTGCAAGTGACCGTGTCATGTTTGGGAGGGGCTCGAGTCGAGGGGGTTTGGGGAAGTTTGTAGAAAGAAGGGTCTGTAATAGATCAGAAAAAGAACAATATGCACTTTTAGTATAGATGAGAACTATAGAAATGACCTGAACTTGCAGGAGGGGCTTTGAGAAGAGGCATTCTGCCAGGGGGATTGGATAACTAGTTAGCTTTAACACCAAGACAACGAGTCGGGGATGTGCTGGCATCGTTGCTTTCCCGGTGAGGGACTATGAATGTCGTGGTCATGTTTCAGGAACTGAGAGCTGAGCTTAGATCTGGCAGTAAAAGGAAAATTACTGCTGACTCCCAAAACATGAGCTCATGGCCGCGGGAGGGCACGGTGGGGCGCCGGGCTGGAGCGGGGGTGCGGGAGCATCGGGTGTTGCGGAGGGACGTGGGGGGAGCCCCTGGGAGGGACAGAGGGCTCGGGGGGCTCG